GCCCCCCCCTCGCCCCCCCCAGGGGGGTTTTTACTCTTTGTAATGTCATTTCTCTCTCTCGTTTTGGGGAGCCCCCGCCGGGGCCATGCCCCGGGAAGTGCCTGCAGGAATGCGCCCATTTGCACTAAGCCAAACTGCACAAAGAGGGGTCTTTTTTGTTTTCCTTTACTTTTTTTTTTCCTTCGTGTGGTTTTTATTTTTTAAATAAAATATATGAAAATTCGTATTTTTTACCTACTCCCTCGCACAGCACGAGAGCGCGCGGGCCGCGGGGTGCCTCCAGCCCTGGGTGGGTTTCAAGGGGTTTAATTCACTTTAAACTCCCTTTTTACCCAAAAAACCCCCCATTTTCCCCTCAAAACCCCTCCTCCCCTCTTGTCCTGTCACTCTCCAGCCCAGGCAGCAGCTCGGTTTGGCCAGGCCATGCCACCCTGCTCCTCTCCCCATGCAGGGAGGGGACAGGGGGGTGGTGGCCCTGCCACCCTCCTGCCCTGTGGGAAGGTTCCCTTTGCATCAGGGATCCCCCCATTGCAGGGTCCCCCCTTGCAGGGTCAGACACTGCTTGGGCCCCATGGGTCAGGCTGGTGCTGTGCCCCCACCTGTCCCCTCCAGGGATGTGATGTGTCAGATCCAAAAGAAAAAAAATAAATACTTGGATTTTTTTAATGATTCCTGTTCTTTAGTTACTGTTTAGACAGGCAGGGTGGGCACCCTGGGCCCCTTGGCACCCCCAGACCCACTGCTGTCACCCCCCTCCTGCATCCCACATCCCCCAGGGATGGCATCGCCCTGTGCATCCTCCTGGGAGTTACTTTAATTTCAGATAATGCCCCAAAAATCAGGAAATTGCCACCAACAGGCAGCAGGGAGGAAGGGAATGAGCCACAGGTGCCTGTTTGGGATGGGGATGGGGAAGGTGGAGGGGTGAGCAGGGCTCCCTGCTGGCCCCCACATTGCCCCATCCTTCCACACAAGGCAAGGAGGAAAATAATAATAATTACATATTAAAAAAAAAAGAAAAGAAAAAGCAGACAAAATTGTAGCAGCAATTTCCCAATTTATTGAACTGATTGATTTTTGCAGGTATGTCTAAGCTAAATCCCATCACAAAGGTTCTATCCGAGGGGGCAGCCCCCGGGCAGGTGAGGAACTGGGCAGCAACTAGAAAATAAAATCAGATTTACCTGAAACTACATTGACAGAAAATCAGTACAACACAGCATGTTCTCCCACTGACTTCTGGTTACGAAATCTCCTCAACCTCCCCAAAATATTAAACACATCTTCAATACAAACACAGGTTTATAATAATTAATATAAAGTCAGTATAATATAGAATATTCCCAGCAAAAAAAAAAAAATCAACAATCTTCAAACACCATCCTTTTTGTGTTTGTTCAGCTTTATTTTTGTAGACAGGTTTAAAGCACGTTGAAAAATAAATATATATGAAAGCATACACACAGCACTCTGACTAGGGGGACTAAAAAAAAAAAGTTGAAATTCAAAACACGACTCAGGATCTACAAAATCAAAGGAACCATTAATTATGGCTTTTGTAGGAGTCACACGTGTCACAGAATGAGCAAAAATTAGATTATCTTTCAGAATATTGCAAAAAATTCCAGTTTTTGCATTGCTTTCATGGAGTTTCTTTCCTCAAGGGTGATGTGCAAAAGGGGGAGCTTTGAGGGGAGGTGCTCAGGGTCAGCCCCAAAACGCAGCAACCACCCCAAAGCCACAGCTTTGCTTGGGGGAAATGGAGTGTTCAAAGGCAGGAGTGGGGAGAGGAAACAAAAGGGGAAGTAATGCTGGAGTGGGTTTCCTTCCAGACAAAAATTACTCATTTTTCTGTCCAAAAAACTGAATTTTGATTAAGGGAAAAAAAAAAAGAAAAGGGAAAGGACAATCACATTGCAAACCTTCATTAGGGAATTAGGGAAGTCCCCTCTGCTTCCCCACAAAGCCGCTCCGCAGCTCTGAGGTTTGGAGTAACCTTAAAAACCACAAAACTGGGGAAATTCATGATTTCAAGAATATTTTCTGGAAATCCCAAATCAACACAAGGACCTTGTTTGTCTCCATCCTTTAAGATGCTCTCCAAGTCCATGGATCCCTGGGATGTTCTCCAGAGGGCTCAGACAGGACGATGCCCTCTGGCCCATTCTCTACTCCTGGCACTCAGATTTAAAATAAAAAATGAGGGTAATCAAGGAATTCAAGGAGGAACATTTACATGTACAAATGCTTTAAAAAAATGAATTGCAAGTTCTCAAGACGGAGTATATCCATGTTTTACCTCTAAGGGAGTTATTGTTGTGGAACTAAGTCTGTATATATATACACACACATATATATATATATATATTTAGAAAAAATTAAAAAAAGGGAACCTCAGTGAAATATACAAAGCCCTGAAGGGAAATACAAAGACGAGATGCAGAACAGGCAGAATTAGTGGGGTTTTGTTTAAATCTCCAAGAGCAGAAGTTTGCATAGGCAGTATATCCGAGAGACCCCGGAGAGAAGCTGGAGGGATGCGATCACCTGGAGTGACTGATGAAGTTTATAAAGTTTCAGCATAAAAAAACACGCCCAAATTCCTGTTTTTCAAACCCAAGTTGGAGCATGGAAGGCTAAAGATGAATCCCTGTGTTTCCAACTCTGCACAGCTCCATCAGAACAAAGCACTTCTGTAGACATCAGGTGTTAGAAGGGTTTTATTTGGTACACGGGGTGTGTTAGTGGGACAGAAGCATATGTGAGGTTATGACATGGGGAAAGTTAGTTTTTATGTGGATTTTCCATTTTTCTCTCCCTTTTTTTTTTCTTTTGCTTTATTTTTTGCATCTTCAGTTCAAAGAGCCTCAAAGTGACAGTTTGGAAACACTCCTGAGTGCTACCTGGCTCTCTGCCCACCTTTAATAAAAATAAGAAAAGAATAAAATATTTCTAAGGGGATTGTGAAGAAAGCTCAGCACTCCATAATTCTGATGGCAAAATTGAGTCACCCAAGGGCAGGGAGGAAGAGGAGGGCTTGGCCCACACCTGCTCCTCCTCAGAAGGTGGATGCACACACCAGCATTGGAGGGGATGGGCCATCGGAATGTGACACAAACCCAGGGGTTTGAACTGTTTGGGCTTTAAAATTCTCTTTAAAATAGATTTTTACATATAAAAAGCAAGGCTAAAGATAAATCTTTTAAGTACTGTATGTATTTGTCTACATGCAACAGGTGAGGCTGCACATTCAGGACTTCAGGCACCCCCTAACCCCTCCCTATTTACAGGGTAAATGACAATAAATACAGAGCCCACATCTGGGGGGGCCAAAATCAGGATAAGGGAACAGCCTCCTCACTCTCTGGGAGCCCCCAAAACCATTGGAAAAGGGTATATAAAGGTCCAATTGTGACATACTGGGTGGGTTTTTACAGTATTTTAAATAGGGGAAGAGAAAGAAAAGAAGCTAAAAGGCAAAATGAGATTTTTACAAGTCAAGAAAAATGTTCTTCCATGACCTGCTCTGCTCTTCCCATATTTAAAGAGGGTTATCCATGCTCACTGCCTAAAGCAACAAGTGCCACAACTCCTCCAGTCCCCGGGGCAGCAGCAGCAGTGCTGGCGGGTCCCACTGAGCCACACTGGGATTTCAGGAAAGATCCGTGTTCCCACAGCTCTGAGCACCCCCAAATCCATGGAGAGGAGCCTGGAGGCTCCCAATGGAAGCAATGGTGAACTGGATGTAGAGAGAAGGTGCTGAATGTCTGCAAGGAACTGAGGAGCAGAGAAAGGGAGCGAATGCCACAAATCCAGGATGCAGCTGGAAGGAGGGAAGGGAGAGAGATCCCAGCTCCTGCAGGTGCCAGGATCAAGGCTCCCACCATGCTCCACAAAATCCTGGCACCAAGTGGCTTAAATCCTTTCAGGTTATTTGCTTTATGGGGGTTTATTGTACAATATCCTTTTAATTCCTTTGCTGGGTGGAACCACACTTTTCCTCATGGACCACCAGGCCTGCAGGAAGGAAAATAGCACCTTGAGTCATTTGGCTTCTGGCAATGGGGTGTCTTTCGTGGCAGGTTTCAAGGTACCACAGTCACAGACATCATAAAAAATTGCTTGATGGCAAGGATGGAGTGAGGTCTTCAGCTTTTTTAAAAAATTTATTTTAAAAAGCACCAGAAGCAAAGAGGTGAAGGTAGAACAAGCTGTTTCTCAGGAATAAGACAACTCCAACACATGCTGTTGCTGTTGTTATTTAGGTGTAGCTGAAAGAAGGCAACAGTGGCCAATATGAACAGGGAGAATCCAACTGTCTGGAACAGCCCCACAGAGTCTGAGGAGATGCTGGGAGAGAAACCTGGATCTTATTTAAGGAAAAAATGGTTTATTGGAAAATTTACATGGAACCAGTGCAACTAAAGCTGAAGGTTTTTGTCATGAATTAAGTAGGTGTTAGACCTACCCATAATCAACAAGAATGTTGAGATTGGCAAGGAAGAACAAGGTAGCCAGGTGAAACGCTGGCCCCACACAAGTCCATGGGATGGGAGCAGCAGGATTCCACCCTGCTGGGATCTCCTCACCTCGGCTTCTTGCCTTCCCCAGCTCATCCTGCACCTGGCTGAATGCCTTGGTTTTGCTACAGTTTGCATATATTTGTGAAAAAGGCAGCTGAACAAAGGGAGAAAAGTGAAGATCTTTGTGGAGAAGAATGACAGGTACAGAATTGTGTCCTCTAGAGCAAGAGGTGCTCCCAGAAGCACAAATGTGTTTCAGTGCCTGTGGATGACCAAGGCTGGAAGACAGGACGTGGGTAAGATGCCAGTAGGTCCAAGAAAAGTCACAATCTGTTTTTGATGGTGATTCTTTTGGAAGCTAAGAATCCAAGAGAAGCATTTGTAAGGCTGTAGTCTGACTTGCCTTTTGATCTATTTGGCTCCATAAAAAATAATCAAAACTCTTTAAATAACTTTGCAAAAGGCCTGTATCATCAGGGGAAGCCCTCCAACACATCCATCCATCTGCTTTCACAACCTCAGCTCGAAATTCCACTGCTGCTGGGATTTTAGCACAGACAAGGTGTAAAAAAACCCCAACCAACCAACCAACAAATCTGCTTTGGACACAAAGACCTCCCTGGTGCTCGGTTTGGAGTGGGAAGGGGAGGAGGATTCATGCTTCACCAGCCTCCCCACACCTGCAGAGACTCCACCTCCC